ACCATCCACGTTTTACAACACGTCGTCCTCATACATATTTTTAAAACAATCAATACAAAAAAAAAAGCCAGGCATATCATCACATCTAAATTGTTTTCTGTATTGCATTGTTTTTGACAAAGAAAAAAAAAACTGGATGATCAACAAGAATAAAAATAAAGATTAACTTTATTCTTTGTTTTTGTTTTTACAACAAAAAATAAAAAACAATGACAATCTTTTTGGTTTAGAAGAGATTTTGCCGTTCGATGAGGGGTTCATTTATAAGAACATTGTATGATGAAAATTAATACATCCTTTTTTCTTTACATAAAACTTGGATTTGGCATGGTCAGTTATCGTTTACCTTCACTTGTGCAGAGTTCAAAGTTTAAAGGTGCAGAAAGTTGAGTCTACCAAATAAAAAAAGTAATCGATTAATAGTAGTTAAAAAGAAAACATTTCTACTCCTGAGCAACATTGATTACTTTGTAAAAGTCAAATCTTTCTTAGAGTAAATAACTGAAACATTTGTGTAAAAGATGCTTGCGGAATACCTCTTCAAACAAGGATCGATTATATTGCAAAGAATTCTGTCATTATTTATTAAAATATATGATGTTTGTAGAAATGTTAGAGCTCTACATACCAAAATAATTCATTGAAAAATTCTGTCTATTTTTGATGAAATTCCTTAAGAAAATTAGCTGATAACGAATTTTCCTAACTTCAGTTGCTAATTTTAAGAATAAGAAAGACCGTTCCTCATAGAACTTAACGCAAGCTTCACTAAACACATTTATTTTGAGCACAGTTGGATTTAATATTCGCAATTGTTTTCTAGAAACACTAAGTTATTAAATTTCGTCACCAGAAGCTTAAAAAATAATTAAAAAATGCATCAAAATGACGAAAAACACATTAAAGTCGATGTATTTCGAAATCATTGATTAAAATCAACATTGCCATCAATTAGTTTTCATGAATTGGATAAAACAAAAGCCATTTTCATTTCATTTATTCGATTAAAATGTTCACTTTAATCAATGAATTAAAGATATATCAGTTTTTATTTCTGTTTCATTATCTGAGGGGCCTTTTTTGTGCTATTGATATTAACTTCATGAAAGTAATGAATTTCTTTTTCAATTTTTTATTTCATATGTAGCATCCGATTTATGCGATGCTTTTCGACTAAAGCTTTTTGCACTATTTTTGTTCATAAGTATGCACATTTCACATTAACGTCGGATTCTAAACAAAATGGAGCATTTAGCTTATCCAAAGAACCCACTGTATTTTGTAATCTATTCTAAACCAAAATATCATACATGTGGGTTTGCAGAACTATTTACGATGTATCTAATGCTATATAATAAAACAAGATTTTCTCAGCTTTTGATGTTCTGAGAATTCATATACTGGTTGTAATTTTTGAGAAATATACATATATATGATACTTATAGACATTGTGACCCCTAAAATATTTTAAGATGATCTTATGCAAATTTTGCTTTTAAATTCTATCCAATACAGGTATAATTTCTCTTTCAGTTTTCTATAATCAATAGTGTTTATCCTTGTTCTTTTCAAATTTAAGATTTAACTACGTGTCATAGAACAATTGATTAGCTATATTAAACTTGCTTAAAGGTTGCAGATTATTGATGTCTATATGTTTCAGAGATAAGATCTTTGGGAATAACAGGAACTCATTGTCAACTTGTAAGATTGTCTCATATAATAGCCTATTTTTGTATATTTAGGGTTCGGTGTACTGAAAATACTTTAACAATACTTAACAGGGTGCTATTAAAAATTCGTATGTACCAATAATCAGTCAAACATAGTTGATGGAATTATAGAAATAGCTCTGTTATAAACGGAAAGAAACTTATTTTGGCTTCTGAGCCTTTGAAGGAGTTACGGGGACACGGAAAAATTCATTTGTGAAATGAACATAAGATACTTAAAAATTCTTCTAGAATTTTATAGGTAAATCAAAGCTGGATCTTGTGAATAAAAGCTGGAAAAAGAAATATCAAAAATAACAGACATTCTTCCTGCAACCATATTCCCATAGCCCCCTCCAGGGATTCGAATGTCAAAAAATGTCTTTCCGTTTAGCAAGGAGCTATTTATATTAGACCATCAACTGTTTTATCGATTATGGGTACATACAAATTTTTGATTGCACTCCGTCGCATATTGCTAAAATATTGTCAGTATACCAGACCTTATATACAAAAAACTAGGCTACAAGTTGAGAATGATTCCTTATTATTCCAAAAGATGTTATCTCTGAAACATATTGAGATCGATAATCTGCAACTTTTGAGCAATTTTAACGTTGTTAATCACTTGTTTTGTAACACAGAGTTGAGCACACTAAAATATCAAATAGTTAAAAATAATCTAGACCTGAAAACAAGAGCCAATTATTAAGACTATTCGGAATTTTGACAAAAAAATTTTATACACAAACGGCACCTGATCAAGACCTATCTAATAATCTCTGCGAAGATTTACTCTAAAAATTGTAATTGTCTGGACACAATAGAAGCCTTGGAACTACCAATAGTTATTCTACATTGATCCTTCTAAAGGGGGCTTTTAATACGAGTGAGGAGGTAAGGTTTTCTATTTTGGGAAACGGATTGGCTCTAGAACTCTTTGCTTTTAATTAAACAAAGTATTAATACTCATTTCATAAAAAAATTGATTAAGTGTTTTTTAAGTAATATTTAATAGAACCAAAGTACAGAGCTGTGATTATCACCTCTACGAAAAGAAGATGAAGAATCGAGCCTTACATTCAAGATATGTTGATATGGTTTTTTTTAAAGGTTTTCAAGGATCGGGTGTCTGTTCAAACCGCTACTACGCTAGTCTCAGGTTTTTGCATTCAATTGTTTACGAGTTTTAGGTATTCTACTCAAAGCTCCCAACTGGGTTTTCAAGCAATTGCTGTGAAAAAAATTACTTTTCTGCAGGTAGTTTTTTCTGTAAGAAACCGTTTCTCCAGCACCTTTTTTAAGACCATTGATTAACAGACCTCACAAAATATTTCAGGAAAACCTAGAATATGTAATTTGATATGGCTTTATCCTTTCCAAAAGTAATGGCGGCAGTGCGCTATCCTGTTTCTATCAAAAGCTATTCAAAAAAAAATACAGTTGGGGTTTTGCTGAAATGGACATTAGTTGATGAAATAGTGACGATAGGCTACGATGATTATCCTATATTCATGTTTGTGTTATCAGACTTAAGTGAAACAAGTTAATTTAACTTTAGTTCAAAGTATCATTGGGTTCCATAAGATCTTTGAGGTACGCAACAGTCGAATCGGACAAAACCGAATCGGATCATAGTATATAGTTTTGCATTTTATGACGACGCGAAACTATTTTCCACTAATCCAGGTAAAAGGTTCACGCTACTGAACAACTGTTTACGATGACAAAAGAAGCTATGCAACTCAACAAATAATAAGGATAAATTTATTTACTAAATTTTTTTAAATTTTACATCATATTACGAGATCAGTTGAATGAACACTAAATAATTTTTTTGTTTTTTATTTTTCAATTCAGACTAAAGTTGGGCATGAAGTCACTCAAACGTGAATATAAATTATTTTGTTTTATTTCAATTTTGATTCTATTGTGGGATTAGTTTAACGAACAGTAATTTTTTTAGTATTATCTTTTTATTCAGATTACAATCAAAAGTGAGTATAGATAATGGGTTCTTATGTTTTTTCTTTATTGTAATTTATTATTGAACGATTTCTATGGACTTAAAAGACTTTTCAAATGCATAAAAATGATGAAACATATAGAAATTGCTGTAGCGAATTCATTGATTAAAATCACTATCTTCATCAATTTAATCCCATGATTTGGATAAAAAATCATTTCCATTACATTTGTTTGATGAAAATATTCAATTTAATCAATGGAATTAAAATACATCAATTTGTATGTCCGTTTCATCATTTGGAATATCAAGTTTGTGGTGTTTCTGATAAAAAATTCATGAAAAATATGAACTTTTTATGCTTTTTTAATTCCATGGAATGAATACAATAATGAATTAAAATAAAATACACTAAAATAATCAATTTTCAGCTAATTGTACTAGAGGAAGGCAGTAGAGACGATAGAAAAGGGGTTTAAAACAATGTATAATATCCACATGTCAATTCAACATTATCTCGTGGAATTCTATCGAGTCCTGGGTGTATCCAATGTTTTCCAGCTGTCCAACCCTACTGTCGGAGATTTGCCAGATTGTCTTGTATATCACATAAAATCCGACAGGATCCGACTATAAAGTTCTTTGGTCTGGATGATTAACAAGTGAAAAGGACGCAACATTTTTTAATTTTAGAGCAAAAGAATTCAGTAATGATATTGGAAGTGCATTGTATGCTATTTCAGAAGTCTAGAGAAAATACATGATATTTTGTGAACAATTCATAATAAATGATATTACAGTATTTTGCAAAAATAATTCATCACTTTTTTTCTCGTGCTTTTCTTTTGCAAGATTACTTTCAATAGCTATTTATACTTTTAGATAATAGTATATTCAGCTGTCTATTAGAAATGTATGATGCAGATTTGACACGTCGTGCCTTTGAGTTGGCTTATGGATTCAAACTTAATGGTAGCAAAAAAAACTGTATCAAAGCTATTGGAACATGACAAACTGCCAAGCTGCTTGGAATTCGAAATCCATCATCAATTGTTAAATGGCGACAACAGAGGCTTTCTAATAATCATATTAAAGATAGATTATCTGTTCGACGAAGAAAGAAAAAGTAAAATGAAAAAGATGAAGCAAAAATCGTACGTTGGATCAAAGCAAGAAGATCAGCGAAACAACCAATCAAAATCCATCACGTGATAGAAAAAGCCAAGTCATTTCATGTTGATTTAAAACCTTATGATGTTTCAAGAATGATGGCAAGCAATGGAATATGTAAACGAACGATTAAGAAAGTATTGAAGAAACAGATGAAGCCTGAATTTTTAACATCAGTTCAAAATTTTCGTCAAATGGTTCAAAAGTCTCGAATTCCTGCCTCAAAGATATTAGTTATGGATGAAGCTGGTATCTGGAGTGATGACATTTCTCTATACACATATGCTGAAAAAGGATCAAAATATGTTGATGTTGTTGTACCAGATATAAAGATCAAGCACACAATTGTAGCAACACTCGGAGGTGATGGAAGTACTTTACCTGCACTTTGGATTAAACATCAAAATGCCAACAAGGGAAGAAAACAAAAAGCTATTAGAGGAATGAATACTATATTAATGCTGAAATACATTGATGAAGTTTTGGCACCAAATATACGTGATGCAAAAGTAATAATAATGAATAACCTTCGATGTCACCATAATCGACAAGTGTTGAAAAAAATAACCGACCTAGGACTGAAGACGTGGTTTTTTTCTTCCACTTGTTGCTTCGGAACTTCCACCATGTGCCAACAATTTATCGTTCAATGCGTCACGATACAGACAAACAAATGAAAGAATCAGCATTCAAAGCCTATAAATTGGGGCAGTCAAAAACTATACGTTCCTATTTGAATCAATGTGGATTAACATTACACCATCGAGGAAATTTGTGAAATAGAGACATAAGAAGAGCATAAAATGTTCATTTTATTTGATGAAAAAAACCTTGTAAAATTGTCTCTTTTTGGAATAAAAATCGTTTTGAAAAGTGATGAGTTATTTTTGCAAAATATTATATTTTTAGTTTGACTCTACCATAAGTTATGTTAATTGTATAGGTTTGTGAAAGTAAACTACGGGAATACTTTACAAAGTGAAACATCGTGATACCTTCTGCAACACATAAGCTGTCAAGTTCAGATGTTGTTTTCTTAGATGATATATGAATTGTTTTCGTTGAAAGACCAATGATTATATAACCATTGTCTTTGTCTATAAAAATTTTAGAAATCAATCTTACATTGATTAATTTCAGCCGATTTTTTGCATTCTTGGGGATATTTTGTTTGTAAATGGTGATTAATATCATCTACTCTCCGGCTTAAACAGAAAGAAGAAAGCCAAAAAAATGACTGAAAGAACCATATAACTAAAATCAGTCTTGATACTGCAAATATGGCACTATCTTACTCATGAACATCGATGATGCCTGTGAGAGGCTTTTTGCAAAAGATTCAGTGCATCATTACTTTCAAGCTCAATAAAAAAAGTAATAAGCGATTGGGACTTGGATGAAGTAAAACAGAATCTGATTAGTATATGAAAAGAAAAACATGATCTGCAAGATGAGAAAACATTACTTTTATCAGTATTGAGGTCGTTTGGATTTTAACAAAGTTAATTAAAAAATGAAAAATAATAATGTTGAAATATTTCAGCAACTTGATCCTTTTAATTTTTAAGCGAGAAGTACTAAATTCAAGTTTGTACTGTTTTAATTCTATTTGATGAAATCTGAGTCATATTTCACTGCAAGGAGAAGTTCTGATAATGATCTACCTTTATCACAAAAGATGGATTGATCTTTTTCCACTTAATGATTTTTTGAAAGCTGTGAATCTTTTAGTGTAGTAGTTCTTGGGTTTCCATTCTTCAAACAGCTAGAATTCTAAAAATTTCAGAGAAGAGATAGTTATGATGGAGCATTCTGAAACACTATGTTCAAGGCAAACAATTAATTCTAGCTCAAGATTCGAATCAGATCATAAAATAATTACTACATGAAACCGCATCGCTTAGAAAAAGAATGATTTATTACTTACAGAAACAGAGCCCGTTTATGATAAAAATTTTACTAAGAAGAGAAAAAACATCGGGCTTTCCCATGGTGGATTGAACGGTATCAGATCGCTTTTAATAGCTCCAGATACGATCATACAAAAAATGTTGATATTAACTCTTTATCTTAATTTAACCAAGATGATGAAGCTAGAGTGAATGCTTGTAATCAGTGTTCATTAAGTTCTACTTATGGTGAAAGTTACAAAGTAAACGATTCATATTTGGATAGTTTTTGTCTTACTCCGAGACTCCTATCCACGGCTACATGTGTCGATAAATCATCTGAAGCATTTTTATTCATCAAATTTTGAAACAATGAAATCAGTTATAAGAATATCTTTTTGAAATTTATAAATTTATTTGCCATTATTTCTTATTATTGAATAA